ATGCGCCTGAACTTTTCTTTAATGCGGGTAGAATTGTTTTTGGTGGAGTTTTTACTCATAACCGGACAACTTTGGATAGAAATTCGGCAGGGTCCATAAAATTATTTTTCCAAAATAATTATCGACAAATATTATTTTAAGTGAGACGAGTAATCCGATATATTGTGTGCTAGAATTGATGTTTGAGTGAATGAGAAATTAATTCTCGAAATCGAATTCTTGGTAAGGGAGAATTGTTGTGTCCCACATTGAATTCCTAGGCTCTTCAACTTCTTCTATTTATATGTAACTCTTTAATAGCATTATAAAGCAATTTATGAAGGAAGAACCGTGCGTGCGTGCGGCGTGTTGTGACGTGGCGAGGGCATGGGCCTAACCCTTATCTTTTTACAAGACCGAATCACACGCGCGTGGGCACTTCTTTAATAACGAAGTGTCACGAAGACATGCGGGAGGCGGACGATACTACCTTAAGGAAAGCTTCGGCGACTCCGCTTTCCTTCCTTCTCCGATCACCGGCGATCTCTTGTTCTTCTCTTTTTTTAATTCTTTTCGTTGTAAAATCTAAATATTTTATAAGTTTGGGTTATTTTATATTATTTTTCTTCCCGCTATAAATATTTTATAAGTTTGAGTTTAAAATTTGATGTGGAACTATTTAAAAACGGGGGAGGGAGTAGATTCTAGAATGAGTTGAATCCTTGATGAGTAACGTCGTCCCTTTAGATATCATTTTCTGTCCATCTCATCTCATGCATGTGTGTATGTACTTCCTTATGGATCCTATTTGCGTTTACTAAATCACAGTGCACTTTAATTAATTATATAGTGGGACGATAAAAAGATAGAGAAGACTCGTCATAAAGTGTACAATAAGGAGCAATAATAGAAATTAAGAGAAGGAATGAAGCTTATTAGAGCCAGCAGGGATGCATTGCATGCACCTCCAACATTTCATTTTCATAGCCATATAGATATATATTCATGGGCTGTCATCGTTGATGGGATTTTCAAGAGCAAAACCAGTTTATATATACCGTGACCCCCACGTGCCCTCATATCTAATACGTATATGCTACTCTCTCCCTTTGAAAAAATACCTTCGCCCTAATTTTTTACGCACCCTATAAAATATTATTATTTCTACCTAAAATGTCTAAACTACATGCAATTATGTAGCTTATTGATGAGAGAAGTTATATTTTGGAAGTATTTTAGACATTTTAGGTAGAGTAAAAGTATTGTATGGGGTGCGTAAAAAATTCGAGCAGAAGTGTTTTCAAGAACGAAGATAATATAATGCAAGGGCAGCCCAGAGGGTAGGGGTGAGTTTAGCTTTTTTGGGTTCGGTTTTTTCTTAAAATCAAGGACAGAACGAAAGTTAATTTGTTGGTTTGGTTTGATTTTTCAAAAAAAAAGTGAATGATAGGTTTTTCAGTTTGGTTTTTTGTGGTTCAATCTTTGATTTTATTTGGTTTTTTTATCCAAAATTGAGGAAGTGCATAGAGTTTATACTTGCTTACTTGCTCTCATTTTAAAAAAAACTAATGTAACCTCATAAATTTTTTGAAACATGTAACCTCATAATTGTTCATAATAAAAAAATAAAATTCCAAGTCAAGCCAACATGTGATTAAAGTCCTAAACATTATTTCCAATCTTCAACTTGAATCTTCAAAATTAAATAATTCCTCTCTCTCTAAATAAGTTACACATTTCACTATTCAAAATTGCGGGAACTTTTTTTATTTGTGTGTATTCATTGACTATTTGATAAACTAATATATATATATATATATGTATGTATGTATGTATGTATGTATGTATATGTATATGTATATGTATATATTTTTGTCATCTCTTGTTTTATAAAACTTTTGATGTACTTTTTAGATATGTAAGTTTTAATTTTTATTCTTATACCAATATTTAAATAAAATGAATTGAAAAAAAAATGTAGGATTTCACTTCGTTTTCATAAAGTATAAATCATCTAGGGACGGAGGGATTTTGTAAAAATTGAAGTAATTTGGATTTTTATAGGGAAAAAGACTAAAAAGGATTCAAATATTGAAAATATACCAAAATAGGATTTCTATGTTTTTAATCCTGAAATAGGCAAGGAGTTAAAATATACATTTACATTACTAAACATGGTCATGTACATTACCAAAAAGTATAATAATGGGCATATGTACGGTGTCACATTACTATAGTGTGAAGTCCTATTTCGGAAATAAAAACATAGAGCTCTTATTTTTGTATTTTTATACTCCCTCCGTCTCATGAAACCTTTCTCCTTTCTTTTTTTATCCGTCCCACAAAATACTTCTCATTTCTATTAAAAATCACTTTTACTCCTTACTTTTTTATACCCTAACTATCACATCATACCTTTTTACTAATTATCTATCCATCAAATCATACTTTTACCCATCACATCAAAGAACATTTTTGGAAATTCAATACCAAAATACACTCACCTTAAATCCCTCATAAAAAGCAAAAGTCCCATGTTTCATGGGACGGAGAGAGTATGTTTTAGTCTTATTTAGGGTAATTTTTATTATTTATATGGAGCACCTTTTCATATTATTTTCAACATCCAAAAATAAATTGAGGCAAAAAAGAGGCTTACCATAACCAAAACAATTAAACTTGAACAAATAATTTAAACATTTAAATATGCAAAAATGAAAGAACTTGAACAATTAAACATGCGAAAAATAGAGGTTTACCATAAAAAATCATTATTTTTACTTCATTTTGGCACTCTTGGTGGTAATTTACATATTTCAGTTTTTTTCGATTCGGTTCGGGTCCCATAGTCCAAAACCGAAAACAGAACAGCTTAAAAACGGTTTGGTTTGGTTTTTCTCATTCGGTTATTGTTCTTTCGGTTCAGTTTATTTTTAGCACAATTTAATCGATTTCAATTCGGTTTTCTATTTTCGGTAACCCTACCAGAGGGTGTGCATTGTGTCTACTCGGGCACGACCCCCAAACTTTTAGGGCACCGTATGCTTAAACGTTCATTATTTTAATTATTTACTATTTTTATACTTAATATAATTTATATTTTAATATTTAAATTGTTATGAAAATGGTTATTAAAAATCAAATTCAACACTAATTTTAAAGCACAAGTACTCTGAAAAATAAAATAGGGCCCAATACACAAAATTTGCACAGGATCAATTTCACTTGTTCATATTTCTGGATTGGCCTTGCTAGAATGCATATATACTCACTAGTATTTAAGTTACCAAAAAAAGGATTATATTGGGGCATTAGACCCTAACTCTATGTTTGGATGTGAAGATAGAATAAAAAGAAAGAAAATATGATGGTGTAAAAAGAAAGAAAATGAACAGAAAATGAGAAAAAAACTTAAGTTTTCACTCTTTTGGTTAGAAAGAAAAAATGAGAATTAAAAAAATTGGTGGTGTAAAGTGATCCCTTTATTCTTACTACTATTTTGACTCGTGCCACGTACGGGGTTGAACAAATTTTTTTGTCTATTCTAAAAAAATTAATGCAATATTTTTCTAGAATAAAGAAAATATACTTCTCACATGATTTTTAATACCGTAGAAAAAACCAAAGTGGAATAAATAATATTTGAAGAATTGAATGTGTACACAACAACAAAAATTAATACCAAATTTTTTGAAAGACTTCAGGGTATACAACATTTTTAGTATGGTTGCAAGGGTTTTCATTGTCATCTAGGACCAATATTATTAATCATGTCTTTGTCTTCCCTCGCGGAAAAGCAACATAAAGCTGACCATGAGTGAACACCGATTTGGTTAAAAATAATCTAATAAATGACAATATTTGACCTTGACTTTTGTGTATAGTCATAGCAAAACATAAGGCTATTGGAAATTGTCTTCTCTAGAACTTCAGGGGTAGTCCTGTATCAGATGATACAAAATTCATCGAGGTATGTAAACTTTTTCCGCCACTCGATTTCTCGAAACCACAATAACACTGATAACATTCTTTTGCAGCTCGTCAACAGTTAATCTTGTCCAGATGTTTGGTCAAAGTTTTATTAATAACATAATTGGTACTCCTTTTTTAAAAAAACTACTTTTGGTTTGAAATTCCCGATCATTTGATTTCATTCAAAAACTCAACAATTATCCAATCGTCATTAACACTTACATTCGAATCTGCCTGGCATGAAGAATATGAACTCAAGTACACCATTTCATATTCAGGAATGAGTGATAGCACAAATTCATTTATCATTTCTACAACTTCGAGCGTGGGTGCTAGTAGTGCCTTATCCTCAAAAAAAAGAATAACTTTTCTTATTCTCCAATAGGTTCGAATAAGTGAAGTTCACTATACTCATGAGGGGAGAAGTCATGTCTAGAATCAAGAATTCAGACAAAATTTCAACGTCAATTGTTCCATCAATCACTTGTCTAAGCTTTTCATCTTTGATTTCAATTATCTGATAAAAAAACTTGTGTCTCTCTATCTGCGCAAGAGGATGCAGCTGAATGCAATCTCATATTCTTCGTCAACATATAAACTTTACCATACAACCACAATTTTGAAGAATTGATGGTAACACCTACAATTTTCTCTCTCGAAGTCTGCTTGGTAGCACAAAAATATGTGAATTTGAAATTGGTAGTGCCAAAAATGAATTGGAATTGGAAAACTCAATTCCATAAAATTTCAACTTCCAATTCAATTCTAATTATATCAATTTCGTGTACCAAACGCACCCCTAGTTTCCATCTAGTTACTCCGTATTTGATTTTATTAACCTCTACCTTCTAGGGCTCATTTGTATCCCATCTTGTACGCCAAGTGTATTCGAACACACATACAATTATTGTTTGTGTGTCTGTGATACACGTGATCTGCAAGTGAGAATACAAATTTGGCCTCCCATTGCACACCTCATGAAAAAAGGTCAATCTCACATACGCCCATTAGCAAAGGTGTGATGCCAAACGAGCCCTAAATGTAAGAAAACAGACAACCAAGCAAATCTAAAAAATTAAAAATACAAATGCCCATGAAAAACACCCCAAAATTAACTTTCCCCAAAACTTAAGCTCCAGAAACTGTCCACAAACAGCATGAACTAAAGGTCAGCCTTGAACCCTACAAGGTAATATGCATAATCTTTTTTACAAAGGTCAAATACAGCTTACCCTACACAACACAAGTCGATACCTTAATACCTAACATCATCTTAAACATGCATATGATAAACAAGATTCAAACCGAGCCCGGTGAAACCGGTCCAAGGTAATCTCCCTCCAAACTCACGACAGCCTGGAACTCCTTCTCGGCCTCCACGTACTTCTCCCCGATCACAATGAACCGGACCACGGTTTCCTTCTCGATCTTCGACATCTTGTCGCTCATGAAGATGGGGTTTTCTCCAGGGACGTAACGGTAATCAGACATCTTCTGGTGGGAGAGGTAGATGTGCTCAATGGGTCCACACCTCAGGAAAACGCCGTGTTTGAGGATCTTGTGCACAACACCTTCTAGGATCTCTCCGCGGAAGATCTTGAATGAGATGCAGTTGAATTCAACAGGGAACAGCACGTCTCCTTTGTTCTCTCTGATTTTGCCTTCTCCAATCTTGTTCATTGTTGTCACTGCCAGGAAGTAGCCCAGGGCTTTCGTGGCCTTCTTCGAAGCAAAATCATCCAATAGACGAACAATGATTGCCTTTTGGAGCATCAATCCTTTGGCATCCAGATGCTCGGCTGGGATCACAACGTTCCATGACAAACTTGACTTGAGATACATTTTCTTTTTAACTTGTGACCAGGAAAAAAAATCAGTCTATTAGTCATTAGTTCATCCATAAAGGCAAGTAAGAAGACCTTAAAACTCAATTGAAAGGGTATATTACATTGTTGAAGAACAAGTTGGAGTCCTCAATCAGCCTACATTTAGTGAATCAACCAAATATACAACAAACAACAACAACATTACCCCAGTGCCTCAACGGCTCCCGCCCATTGGGGATAAGGGGGGGGGGGTCAGATGTACGCAGTCTCACCCCATGTTTAAAACAAAGAACGGTTGTTTCCAAATGACCGATGATGAGCGTCAAAAGTTGCATTGACTAATTGCTACTTCACAATTGCAAGTAGCGCGCGCAGATAGATTAAAGAACCAATTTGCATTATTCCATCATACCCCAAAGAGCCAAGTTGCATTAGACCCAAATATACATGAGAACTTAATTGGGTTGGATCTAAATTGTACTCCCAAAAAGAGTATTATAAAGAGGACCAAATTGAGTCTTTAAAAGAGTTACGCACCAACACCAACAACACCAAACCCAGTTAAATCCTACAAAAATAGGATTTGGAGTGTATGTACACATACCTTACTCTTACTCGAAAGTAGAGAGACTAATTTCAAGTGACAAAAAAAATTACGCACCGAATTGAATAATATTGTTTAGATAGTCGAGGCTCGAGGGACTATACTCGTAGTAGAGCACACAAGTATATGAATCCATATTGATAACATGAATTAACATCTACTGTATACTATAATACGAGATGCATGATCACAAACAAATTTTTCTCACACAAACAAATTTGAGGATGGAGTACACAAATAACCTCAAATTCACAACCATATGTAATTTAATTAAAAACAAACTAGCTATGTTATGCTCTAAAATGCTCTGTTTTAACAACGAAATAGGTATCCAAGGTGTCATCACCAGTTTGGTACATTACGAGAGACATCTATATTTAAATTATAAAATAAAACTGTTAAAGAAAAAACCCCAAACAAATGCAATGGAATGATTATGGCATCAAAGGGGAACAAGTAACTACCTTAGAACAACGACAATGAACAGGTAAATACCACAATAATTAGGGTTTAGAGTTTAGACTAAATATAGATAATACTCCGTACGTATTAAGGTTGGAAAATAAAGCGGCGAAAAGGGAGAGTAGAGAGAGAAATACCTGGATGTGATGGCGAGAGTGGAATCCGTCTGGAGAGTGGAGATTGTTGGAAGAAGATGATGGAGAAGAAGATTGGAGAGGAAGAGAATCAGATCGGGGACGGCGAGTGGCCTCTGTTGCGCATTTCGGAAACGTAAAAGAGAAATGAGATCTAAGGCAGCGGCTGTGTGACTGTTGTCCAAATGACGAAAGAGTTCTAGAAAAAATATGGACTATGGATTGGACTTGGGCCTTGGACTAGTTGAGTGTGGACTAGGGAGTATTTTCGGTTAGACCGATTGGGAATCGGGTATAGAGCGGATCATATCGAAACCTGAAATGCTAAATATGTTAGACCGAAGGGCGAAGACCAACCCGAAATTTATTCGGTCTGGATTTTGTCTGGACATATCGGATTCGATCAGTTTTTCCGATCTGGACCTAAATATGAACACCCCTAGTTTCCGAACCTTTATCTTTGCTGAACTTACAAGTAATTTTTAACGCTCCCATGATTTTTCTGCGCTCTATTTTCATTCTTCTCGGTAAAAAAAAGTTAATCCTTGTTTAGTTTATCCATATATGATGCTCAATTTTTATCTGTAATGAATAAGTATGTTAGATCTATGGCCATGAGTTCAGAATCAGAAACACCAAATGTCCCACACTCCCTCATTGACCACAAAAATTATCAAGTAAATTCAAAAAAAAATAATTAAATAAAAATCAAATAAAAATGGATGGTGAGGAAGTGGTGTATATTTGGGGTACACCTTTGGTGTACCCCTAGCATCTCCCTTTTTTCTACAATGGCCCTTCATTATATGACCGTCTGTAACCAAACACTTCTTTTTCTCACATATCATTTCCTCCCATGCTTGAATTATACCTCCTGGTTTACACCCTCATGTTCTTCAGTGATCTAGGAACCCTACTAAAATCTGTTTCAACAAATCATCCATTCAAAGAAGAAAGTCTCTTCTCAGAACAACCTTGTGAACCATCCTCGGACCCCCCTTCGACAACTTCTGACACATGTTGATCATGGATATTACCATTTCCATTTGAATCATAGTCAACACATTCATCCTCGCCATATACCTCATTTTCCTCCCAACAACACAAACCAGATTCTTTCAACCCCCCATCTTCAAACGGGAGTCATAACCAGCACGTAAACATTTCATATCCACACCGCAAATATTTATACCACGATACTCGTGGGAGATGTCTGATTTGTGATTGTCTCCAAATAATGATTCCATCTTCACCGACCTGCCAATATTTGTATCATTGATTGTTGATGACAGAGCTTCACAATTAGATAATTGATGAGAAATATTAGCTTCATCAGAGGCACTATAAAAGACTGCAACAGTTGGCTGTCCCAAAGAAATTAAGGTTGGTGGTGCATGAACTGAAATGTTGGCAAATCAATTAAACTTGCTTCTGGGAAGCAACTCTGTAAGCATTTTGTCAATTGTAAGTGTCTCCATGTCCAAATTGTTGAAGGTACACGTTTGCTATAAGCGCCTACTCCATAATAATTTTTGGAGAAAAGTCAAATCGTTTCCTTGCCATTTCCATTGTTAGTTTATGAAGAGAAACGATATTAAAATTGGAGTTAGCCATCAAATTTTCCTATCACTTGAATAGTGTCACATGTGGCAACAATGCTATAGAACAGTGTCACATATGTCTCAGCAAGCAAATAGGATGAAGCCATTTTTCACTTTAATACCTTGAAATCATACTTATCTGGATTGGAAAAATAAAAATCAATCATTTAGGCTTCAAAAGTATGAAGTCAAAAACAACCCACAAAGTATCATCACATTCATCTTTTTTATTGTGAAGAATAATGTACACAAGTACTTTGAGTTCATACCTGTTGAACAAAATGAGTCCATCCCCGTGGGAACGAAATTATCCGAGCTACGTTTTCAGACCGCCATCAATGTCTAACTGTTGTTGTCTAGGAGTTCCTTCTACTTTTCCATCTAGGTTTCTGTGTTATCTTAATCTCTGCATGCCAATAATGTACATACAGATGTTTACTTTAACTCGCATAAAGTGTTGTAGATATAAGAAATTCATTCACATTCAATCTCAATTACAGAATAAAGTAAAAAATACAAAGTTAAATTAAAATGAAAAAATAGAGGGAACGCAAGACCTGTAGGTAAGGTTGTTTTCCAATTCATACCCTACTTGTGCTCCAATCGCTTGTGTTCCAATTCATACCCTACTTGTGGTTCCAGACCCGTCTGCTTCTTCCTCCTCCTCGTGCATTAACCTTCTCTGAATCCACCATTTCCACTGCCAGAGCTATGGTATGATCATTACTATATTTGTATCGAAGAGAAGTGACGAACTGTTGGGATCGCCTAGAAAAGATTCGACCCGTACAAAAAAGGCATCCAAGTAATCGATTCCCGATGGTGGGTTGGCGCGCAGCGTACGACGTAGACTTGAGGACGGAGGAGGGAGGAAAAAAAAGGTGGAGGCCGGATGGTGGGTTCGCGCGGATAGGATGAAGATATGGAACCGCCATCTTCAACCGACAGTTTTGGTCTTCTGGACATGCCTTTTAACGGACGGTCAGATTTGTCAATTGCGGATGAAATTGGACCGTCCGATAGCAGCGAAAATTAGATGGAATTTGGGTTCAATTTTGATCCTTCTTTTATATATATAATAGATATTAAATTTTATAGATTTTTTCTAGGATCACTCCATTTTCATTGGACAAAATTGAAATATGCATTTTTTGTTACTGTTTCAAATCATATTTCCCAGGGCCGGCCCAATTGGCCGCCCAAATCGGGCCCATGAATTTAAGAGACCCAATTGTTTTAAATATTTTATACTCCGTATATGTATATAAGAAGAAAAATGCTAGGGGTACACTAAATGTGTACCCCACTTGTCTCCCACCCCCTCCTTGTCCACAAAAAAAGGCAAGAAATACAAAAAATAAATAAATAAATAAAAATAAAATAAAAATGAATGGTGGAGAAGAGGGTGGTGTATATTTGGGGTACACCTTTGGTGTACCCCTAGCATTGCCATATAAGAAACCCATAGCTCAATATGCCAAGGCCCGTCTAAACCTTTTAAATTAAAAAAATCCCTTTTAAAAATCAATAAGAAGCCCATAGCCCAATATGCTAAGCCCCTCAACCTTTTTAAAAATCACACATCCGCAGGTAGCCGACTGAAAAAAATCGCCAAATCGGAAAACTGCCGGGCGAGAGACGCCGCCGCCGCCAGAGTCCAGACGCCGCCGCCACCAGAGTCCAGACGCCTCCGGGAGCCGACCCTCCGGCCTCCAGGTATTCCGTAATAGCTTTCCATTTTTTTAATTTTTTTTCTTTCATTTTTTCATTCTCTAGATTTAAAATTTAGGGTTAATTATTGAATTTTAGTTAGAAATCTTTGCTCTTTGTTATGAAATAGGATGAATTAATGGTTCTATATGTTCTTTATTTGATTTGGATGAATTGGTTTGAATTTATGATATATTTATAATTTTATTTATAAAAAACTGAAAACTAAAAAAAATTTAAAAACTGAAAAATTGATATGAATTTATGATATATAAAAAAATTAAAACTGAAAAACAAAAATATAAAAATTGACGAATTGATATGAATTTATGATATATTAATTTACTTTTTTATTCTAATAATATTGCGTTAATTATTATTTAAATATAGTTAGTTTATATATATTAATTTGTTAGACCATAAGGGATAAGATTTTTAAGGACTTTTTTCTGTTTCGGCTCAGGCCCATGCATTCTCGGGACCGGCCCTGATATTTCCATTTTAAAATCTGTTATAAATGTATTTCATGATTTTTTTATAGATGTGTTTGGTCTCATTCATTTGTTTGGCTTAACCATTCTTACTTCAGTGGACTAGTGGAGTGAAGTAAATAAGTACATAATTCATAATGTTTTTTGTACATCATATTTAGAGTATCATGAATTTGTATCGGATGTTTTGAACTACTCTATGGCTTAATTTTTTTAAACCATCTAGACTAAATAAGGTCATTACTAGTTTGTACTGGGCATCTCTTGGAAATAATGTCTCTACTCCGGAGTATGAGTAATTTTTTGAATAAACACCCTCTCTAGACTCTCCTTATTGTGGTATTTACTTGTTCATTGTAAATTTTGACTAAACTTATCTTTAATTTCTTTTATTTGATTATACATATAAAATTTAAAAATAAAATTTATACATTAAAAAATGCATCGAAAACCCTCCAGAATAAGAAATGACAAGAATATATTATTTTAATGATGGAGAGATGATTTTTTCATAATGACTAATGAAAATATGATCTCTCCATCCAAAAAAGGACACCATTGTTACCAGGACCAACCCGGAAATGTGAAAAAATGAAATTGGCCCTGTGCAAAACACACGTGTTGAGGTTCTGCTTTGTTTTTTGCAAAGTACTTGTGCCTTAAAAGTAGTGCTAAATTTGATTTTTAATAACCATTTTTTTAACAATTATATTATTAGTATATAAATTTAAATTATATTTAAAAATATCAAGCAATTAAAATAATGACCATATAATAATCTTGGGCCCTAAAAGTTTGGGGGCCTTTGCGGGTGCACACCTTGCAGATCCCTTTGAGCCACCGATGACTGTTATAATTACGGTCTCTCGATAACTTTTGTTTATTTGTATGTTTTTTCATTGACAATTTGATAAAGTAGAATATTGTTGTCATCTTTTCTTTTATAGATGTTTTTCTGTACTTTTGAAAGGTGTAATTTACACTTTTTATTTCCATACCAATTTGTATTTAAAAAAAATATTAAAAATGATTTGATTTTACATGTTCGAAATGTTGATATTCATCATGTACGGAGGGACTAAAAAGTAAATAAAATTTGATGATCAATTTCATAGTACTCACTACTCGGTAATATCATATCATCACATCTTTTTTGCTAACATATGACCTCTGCAAGTACCACGTGTATATTGTATTAATTATCACCAATCTGTGATTAAAATCTAAATTTGGGAATGAGTGAAAAATGCTTAGTAATGGGCCTCATATTTTATCATCACATCCCTTTCTTCTCTTTTTTTGGTAGAGGGACACCCCTTGACCTTTGTGCGGTTTGGCTCTGGAGTTTGGAGTCTAGCCTCCTCCATTTCGACATTTCATCGCCATTCCAAACACATCCAGGTATTTCTCTCTCTACTCCCCTTTTTCGTTGCTTTATTTTCCAACCTTAATACATACGGAGTATTACCTAAATTTTCTCAGACAAAAATTAAGTCTAAATTTTCATTACACGGTTAGTCAGTTGACGTTGCCTGTCATTGATGAATGTTTACATGTTAGAAATTCTAAATCTGAAACCATACTCTGCATATCTTAATTTCACATTCTGGATAAGTATTTGCTTTGTTATATTCTCAGTCTTGAGATCGTAATGTTATTGATTATGTTATATATTATCTCCGAATTTGATAGTCCACTTACTAATTTTAGGCTTTTAGTTGACAAATGATTGGGAAATTTCACACAAAAAAATGACTGAGAATTTTTAAAAAATGCATTCTAAATTCAAGTTTTTGTTGTTATTTTAACCTCATTTCCTTACATTTGAACATTTGAAGAATTTTAGAAAGGTGTAGTGTAACAAAATCTTTAGGGCTTTGTTAGGTTGTGGAGCTTGATGGAATATTTGGGTTGCGTCTCGACCCAAAATTTTAGGTTGTACCTTGTAAGTTATCGTACATACTCCGAAACCATCAATATATAACCCTATTTCATTTGTTCTCTTCTTTGTTGTTTTTCTTCATATTTTGATTTCTTCATTTCTTCTTCATATTGATTTGCGTGTGTGAGTTTGTAATACTTTTTTGGTTTTAGGATGTGTTTGTCTGTTTTTGAAATATTAGTAACATCTATCAGAGAACATTCAAAATTCTTCATTTTTGTCAGTTTTTGCCAAAGTTCTTTTTGTTGTTGCAGAGATTTTGGTTTGCTAGTTTGAAAAAAATGAACATTTTCAGTTCAAATTATAGAGAAATAAAAAACTGTTTTCATCCTCCTCTAAGGAAGATTTACAAATAAAAATCTAAGTTTTAGAGTACATTGAAAACCCCTTGGGAAGTTTCATATATACCCTTTTGAAGATCACCATCAAGAAAATGTTGTAAACTAACAAGTTGGGCTTTGTAATGTACTAATGTTTAACCGTTCCGTTCGGCAGTTTGTTGATTTCATAGACCCATTTGCGCACTCCCAAAGGTGTTTTGTGTTGAGGCATACACCCTATTGTTCCAAATTGAGTGTTTGTGTTTGTGAAGCCTCAACTTGCCGCATTTATAGCGACACGCAAAATCATTCTTTCTCGTTAAAAAACTTTCGACCAGATGCTCTACATATAGAGTCTCTCCAATTTTTCCTTTCTTTCATTCCACTTTAATTTTCTTATATCTTAGTCTTTGCTTCTTTATGTAGAAGGATTAGCTTTAAGGTGCTTGAAACAATGTTTTAGTTATGTGCACATAGTTATATGCCTTGAATGGTTGGTAAAATATGATTGCAGCACTTTGCCTCTGTTAACTTTAGTTTGTTCATTGCCATGTGTGCTTTGCGATTTATCTGTGTTTTCTCTATTTTATATATCTCTTGTGATCTTTTTGAGCTGGGGGTCTCTTCGAAACAGCCTCTCTACTTTTAAGTAGGGGCAAGGTCTACGTACACACACCCTCCCCAGACCCTACTTTCGTGGGATTCAACTCGGTTGTTTTGGTTTTGTTGTTGCAATGTATAGAGTATATTTAACTAAGTTTTAAGTGAATGATCATTTTTTTGTTCTAGGTGTTAAGGAAAACTCTATGCCGAAGTGGCTGGCACTCTGTGTTTGATCGGTACGGTGAGGATGAATTCTCAACCACGGCGAATCTTGCCACCTGGCGCGTCACGGAAACAGAAAGAGAAGGAAATGTCATCTTATAATTCCATGTGGCCATCATCATATCCAGTTAGTCACAAGGCTACGACGTCGTCGAAGCAAGCTGAGTCAGCAGCAGTCCACTCGAACCGGGTCTTAGCCGGGTACATGGCTTATGAGTTCTTAACTAAAGGAACCATGTTTGGCCAGATGTTCGACCGGGCTCGAGCCGAGGCTGCCCTGGGGAACAGTGGTGCAGCAGATGAGGTGAGAAGGGGAAAACCGGCTGCCGAAGCCGAGCCGAACGAGATGAGGAGCCGAACATATGATGAGGTGGCGAGCCTGTTGAGGAGCGACGAGGCCCACATCCCCGGTGTGGTAAATCCGACGCAGCTCGCGCGATGGCTTCAGATGTGACATCATTGTGCGCCGGTTTTTTGAAAATCCTTACCAAAACACTAATAGGCCCCATTTGGTACACGGAATTCAAATTGTGGAATTGGAATTGAGGACTTCAATTCCAATTCTGGTGTTTGGTAGCACAAAAATTATGTGGATTTGGAATTGGTAGTGCAAAAAATGAATTGGAATTGATGAATTCAATTCTATGGAATTGAATCCCATAGAATTTCAATTACAATTCAATTCTAATTCCATCAATTCCGTATACCAAACGGACCCTAAATGGTTTGTTACACTTTGTGGTAGGTTTCATTTGTGTCATGAACTAAACGATCTTGTTGTAGTAAATTTTCGGGTAATAATCCTTCATTTCTGTTAGAAGTGTGTCAAAATATGTATGATACCAATATATTTGGGGCCATATAGTTCTCCGTTAGGTCTGGGACGGGATCCTAGATCCTACCACCGAGAGCCCTCTTGCCCAAAATGTTGTAATGATCATTGAAGTTTTTTTGTCAATGTATTTGATCATTGAAGTACTTGCATTGTGTCTCTCTAAATGCATTGAAGGTTCAAAGTGAAATGGATGAAGCAGTAGTGTGTGTGTGTGTGTGTGTGTGTGTGTGTAATGTCTCAATGTTTGTTTGTTTGTAGCCCACATGAACTGATCTTTGCATTGCCTTCTTTGTCATCATGCCTTGTTGATTGCAACTGATGATGAAGATGATGATCTAGCAGCCTTCAGATTCAGAAATATTGCCCTAAAGCACATGACCAGATGAGTACTATTAATGATATTGTTATTTTATTAAGAATGATTTTGTATAGTTTTGGACAAATTCGTTACTCCGTAGATGACAAATGACCAAAATCTTATTCAAGAAACAATAGTACCCGTTATTTGGTATGATTAATAATAATGACATTTTATTGTTATATTTTTGTGAATTATTTTAATCTTTGAGATAAAATTTATTATTGATTTATAAGTTTATATTGTAGTTAAAAATTCCGGAGCATTGCCTTGGACTCCCTTGAGTGANGCTCCGCCACTGTAAGGAGTAATATTTAACAATTTAACTTTCAATTTTTTAACAAATTCATTTATTTGAAAATTCAAAATCAATAATCATATCATAATACTACCGAAAATGTTTTTTGCAAGACACGTTTAATATAATCATTTTCTATTACTTTATGATAAAATATATGTTTAGTTTATAATCAGAGCTCAAAGAAAGTGAATGCAATAAGATGGAGGGTATGTAATTTTAAATTAATTTTCATTCATTTATATTTTACGGATTTAAAAAAATAAATACTCATTATTTATGATTGAATTTTGCAAAATAAAGAGCATAAGAAAGAATAATTGCATTCTAATATATCTCATTAAAAATAAAATTTTGAAATCAATTGATATAAGCATAAGTAGTAATTGTTTTTTGTGGTTTTTTTAAAAATTAAAATGTGTATTTTTCATGCTTGAACTTTATGAAGAAAATTTTATATTTTATTTATATATAAGAAGATATGGAGTAAAAATTTGATTCTACCACATCCAACTAAGAAAACTAAAATTTAATTGATAGTTTTTTGAATTTTTTTTAAGGAAATAGTGGAAATACATACTCCGTATTAAAAAATACAAAACACTATCAAAGAGGAAAAAAGTAGAATTAAGAAAATTAAAATTTAATTGATGTATAATTCATGTATTCTTATGGAAGAAATAGTGGAAATATTAAAAAAATTAGAAAGCACTATCAAAGCAGACAGAAAAAAGAATAGTAAAAATTAACAAATATTAGGGATGTGCTCCGCTACATTACACGCGACATCGTTTACTAGGAGGCTTTTCATTTACATATAGTAATAACATCAAAATAATCAATACATATAAAATCCTACATGGAGGCTCGTGGGGTCCCGGGACCCCATGGGACTCAATGTGGGTTCGCCACTGGTGTGGAGGCAATGGAGAACACCAGGAAACAGATACGATACCAGCCGTAGTGCCTCCGTGGAGTTGCTCTCGCATACCACTCGGCGAAAGCCTCGTTTCAATCAACATTAAACCGTAGATGTCTCAATATCATTTCTCTACAATTTTTTATTTTTGTTAGAAGTGAACAAGTACCGAACCGATGCAGGAATTTCATCAGAAATTGAGAATACCAAACCAAAAAAATACAGCAAAAGAAAAAAATTGAATTGATGATCGGTACGGTACGATATTTTGAAACGGTACGAGATAACTTCCCATACTGAAAATCTCGAAGCCAACATATATACTAATATGTTACTTCCTCCGTCCCAAATTAAATTGTCTGTCTACAATTCACAAGTCAAACTTTATTCACTTTTTTTCCAATTTTCATTAGTCATTTGAAAAATTAATATAGTCATGTCACCACTAGTTTTATATATCTTTTGATGTAGTTTTAAATATATAATTTTCATTTTCTAATTTTACACTATTTTTCATATAAAATTATTTGAAAATAATATCAGTCAAATATCGTAAATCAAAATAGTCAATTTAATTGGGACGGAGGGAGTATAAAAACATATTCTTTTTATATTTTTAATTAAAAAAAATTATTTTGAAAATTTGGTTTAAATTTTACTATGTGTAAGTTACACTTTAATTCGAGTTTTAGTTTTTCGTAGATGAATATTAAAAATATTAACAAACATTTGAAATATTGGTTTCTTATCATTCATTTTTTTAGTTTGTGAAATATAAAGGCCTGAGGATAAGCATTTTTTTCTATCCTCAAGCTCGCACCATTCGAAATTAAGTTTTGATAAGCATTTCTTGCATTTTATTATTTATTTTTTAGTTTTTTAGGATTTTTAATTTAAATTTACTTTTTATTTTAAAAAATAAAGGGGTTTATAATTTAAAGTGTAAACTAGGTACATATGTATTTATCCCGATTTTTACGCAAACCGATACTGAACCATCCCAGACCGATATTTCAGGTTTGTGTTCAAGATTGATACAACATAAAATCTCATACCAAATCGAAATATTTGATATAATATTAGTAGAGGAGTTAAACACCCTACCATGTTGTAAAATGATTTTATAAAGGATTTATTATAACAAATGATTTTTCATAGTTAGTCTCTAATTTATTTTTAAATATTATATTCGTGATTTTTTTATTTTTATAAAACTATTGTGTTTAATAATCAATACTTTGAGGATTGTATATGAAAAAAATATTTGGTCATATTTGACCTAAAGAACAACTTCGTGATTATGAGATAATTTTTAAAAATGAGAACCATAAATGCAATGACCTTGTTTGGATGCTGTCTATTGTCAGTTGGTTGTTTGTGTCAGCTCTTCTGAATGTCTATTTAGTTTAACTACTTTAATTGGTTCAATGTGTTGAGTGATTGTTAATTTTTTTGGTAAAAGATACTAAAAATTATCTAAGATACTAAAAATTATCCAAAAAATGTTTTCAAAACACAACTAATATCTAAGAATTGGGACTAAACATAAAAAATGATAAAATATTATTTCTTAGAATTAGAACAACTTAGAAGAGATCATTTATGGAATTTTGTTAGAAAAGAAATCCTTTTACTTCTTATTTTTTCGGCAACTTTTCAGTTACTGCTTTCATTACCGGAAGCGGAAATGGTTTTCGTCGGGCTCTTGATATCGGCGACGAAGCTTGCCGGTGTGCTCCTGACGCTCTCAGTAGCTGCCAATGCGTTTTCCTATAACGCTTACCGCAAGAGGAATCTCAAACCTTTCACTTCCCCGATCGACGAGTCCTCCGATGTCCTCGCCGTCTTCGACATTAATCCCGCCGGTAAATTCCGACTCACTCATATGCTAATCATCATGCGTTGGTGGTAGGTGTAAGTTTCTCTTCTTAATTGCTTTCAGATTCTCATCAATTCGTGGTTTGGATGTTTGATTATATACCAAAGCATACAATCTTATAAATGCACCATATGCTTCGAATTATGGACGTGCTCTTCCCATCACATTTATAGGATTGAATCTTCGCTATCAAAATAAAGTAAGCTCAAAGGAACATGGTTGGACCACACAGGGTCTCTAAAATTCTGGGGCCCTATATTTTTAAATTCATCATTAATTTTGAAGCATAAGTATTCTAAAATAATAAAATAGGGCCCAAAATGAAAATTTCAGACCGGGCCAATTTCATTTTTTCATTTTTCGAGTCCGGCCCTGCAAAGGAACAATTTGATACAGGTTAACTTGAATTCATGATTTTTTATCTCAGTTATAGCCCAAATTTTAAAATACAAACTCACATATAACACCTTGGACTACTACTCAAGACAGTCTTACCAAGTAAAGAACACAGATACTGTTTCTGTAATGCATTGCTGTATTTACTAGTTACTACCCAAAAGGGAAAAGCCTAATTATAGTAAAAAGCAAAGAGTGTTTAATGCTCCATTTTAATTTAGTCCACAATGTACCTGAATTTAGAACATTGCCAATAATGACTCTTGGCCATTGGGAGTTAATCAGTTCAATATCGCTCTAAATGGGTATTGAATGAACGAGAAATCCATTCTCAAATCTAACTTGTTAAGATTGTTTAGGATGCTTATTGAAAGCCATTGTCCCTGCGAAAGTGCAAAACTAAGTTATTGTGTACTTGTGTTCTTGTATATATACGTACGAGTATTTCTTTAAAATAAAAAAACTCTAGTATTGCATAACAATCAAATTGACTGTAGTCATGGGCACAATAGTTTACACCTACAAAATTCTGTTGTAAACTCTATAGAGCTCTTTTTAAAATTCTTCTAAATCTGCCAACACTTCCATAGCTCTGTGTTCCTGAATTTGTTCAAGTTTGCCGAACACTCTTTTAATTGTTTTTGTCTAGGAAAATAACGCTACAATGTTTCTAGATTTTTTTTTGTTTTTCTACTTCAAGTAATGATGATTTGGATTAGACTTCCAGATTTCTATAGTGATTCGTTTGTGTGTTAGTTTTGTTCACTTTACTCATCAGTTGTGAATTTAGATGGGTTTCTTTTTGTGTTTGAACTTCCATCGTGGACTATGGTGTGTGATCATGTCACGTGCTTCACAATTTCAAGACTAATAATCATGCATATATTTGGTTTGTACTTTGCTTGATTGTTGAGCTACAACAACAACATTACCCATTACCCGTGTCTCAAAGGCTCTTGCCCTTTGCGGGGTAAGGTGGGTCGGATGTATGCAGCCTGACCCCGATGTTCAAAACATAGAGCGGTTGTTTCAAGATGACCCATGATGAGCGTCGAAAGTTGCATTGACTAACAACTATTTCACTATTGAATGAAGCATAGACAATTAAAAGAGCAATTGTGCTTTGTTTCGTTGAGGCGGTTGAGCTATTAAATATTTTTTTTGTTGGTATGTTTTGAGGCATATGCCTCGAGGCTTTTGCCTCACCTATCACTCTATCCGAAAGAAACCCCATTAATACCTGAACTGTTGGTTCTATAGAATAGTCTAGTCTAATTGTATTTTACTTTTTCTATATATAGCCTAGCTGTACTCTATCTTGTTCTCCAAGTAGGAATGAATGAATTTCTCCTTCTGTTATTTCGGTTCTCCTTCTCCGACTATTCAGGGCTTTGTTCATTTTCATTTCTTGAATCAATCATGAAGCAAATCAACATGAACTAGCATTTTAAACCTTTTTGTCTCTACCCCTATTACAAAAGAATGATGAGATGAAATTCCAACTGTCATTATCATTGACATATTTCTCTTGAATGAGAAATATGGTAAGATATCAATCAGTGAATTGTGGTAACTGTTGTAGTCATGATCTGTTACAAGATTGATATGGTAAAAGAAGTGTGCTGACATGCCACATATGGTGAGAACGATGGCTTAACCCCTTTAGATGTGTAACTCCAGCAATATTTAAATTCCTAGCCATACATGTTGAAAGCAGATGATTTACCAAATGGAAACTTTTAATTTAGTTATTTTTGTTGGTGGAAACAAAACCACATACATTTTTAGCAATTGGTCAATAGGTTGCTATATACACATTTTTTTGTTCATATGATAATGCTTTCCCTAGTTTCTATTCGTGCAGGACCATCTTTTAATGTATGTTCTCTTGTTTGTCTACATAGAAGGTGAGAAGGGATTCTTCTTTGGATTGGCAACTGCACCAGCACATGTGGAAGATGGGCTTAATGATGCTTGGCTCCAGTTTGCTCAAGAGGCTCCTTGCAAACAATCAGAGTCAAACAAAGAGTCAAACAATGAACCCCAACTAGTAGATGCACTATTGGCTTCTGCTACAGGTGATGGTGGCACTCAACAAGCCTCATCATTACCAAGGGCTGTATCGCCAACTATAAAAAGAAGAAAGTCAGTTAAGATTGCTATGGAGGCAAAAATTAGAGGATATGAAAAGTACGTAGAAGTAGAAGAAACTGCACCTGCCGAGGCATGCCAGCATGCCGTTGCTGCATGGCATAATGTTCCATGCCCGTAAGTTCAACCAACATAGCGTGACTCATATATGGATCAACTCTAAATGGGCTTAAGTTGACAACACATCAATCAATCTCTCTTGAATATACATGACCTAAATTGTACACTATTTTGTATCCCCTGACTAGACTTTTTTGTTACTCTGTATTTTTTTTTGTTCTAATCATTTTTACATTTTATTGAGCCGAGGATATTCTTGAAATAGTCTCTCTACCTTTATAGACAGGGGTATGGTATGCAGACATCAATGCTCCCCAGACCCTACTTGTGTATATTTACTCAGCTGTTGTTGTGAAGTCCACACTATTTGAAGCTAAACCTTTGAGATAATGGAATTTTCCATTAGAACTTATTATCTCCATTTAATGTGCTTAAAATTAAGTAAATCAAAATGACACATTAAATGTCCTTTATTTTTACTTTCTATGAAGTTTTGGGTTGTCAATGCAGAAATGCATCAAGGATATGCTATGGTTACAATTGAAATAAAAAAAATCCGTTTTTGTTATTTCAGAGAAGAAAGGTTAAGGTTTTGGTCTGATCCGGACACAGAATTGAAGTTGGCAAAAAATACTGGAGTCCAAGTGTTCAGGATGGGAATTGATTGGACAAGAATCATGCCGAAGGAGCCCAAAAATGACCTACAAGAATGTGTAAGTATGACTATCGACTTCCTTTGGGTACCATGATCTCTATTTTATTTAGTAGCCATATTGGGCTTTGGCTAATCAAAATGAAGGTGTAGTTGAAGCTGTTTTTTCATAGGGGATCTCTCCTAACACATTGCTTAAGAGATCTGAATTCCCAACTCTTTCTTCTTGGAGCGCATGTTGTTGGTTATGTTTTTAAGTCATTCTAGATAGGCCAAATATAGTAGTATAAACCAGCATACATGATATTAGACTAATGCTCTTATGTTAACCCTTTAAGATAGAACTCCAATAGGTGCACTTTTGCTATAAGGGAGCACTATGGTCTATGCACTTTGCATAAGTGATTATCTTTTGGACATTTCTAGTTTTATAAACTTAAATGGATCCTAAATGTTCGCTATCTTAAAATATAATTTATAAGGGTGTTATAAACTGCATTTCTTGATATATTAATAGGTCAATTATGCTGCACTGGAGAGATACAAATGGATTGTAAATAGAGTGAGATTTTATGGTATGAAGGTGATGTTGACTTTATTCCATCACTCACTCCCACCTTGGGCTGGAGAATATGGAGGGTGGAAGATGGAAAAGACCATTGACTACTTCTTGGAATTTACCAGGTTGGAAACTTGTATGAATTAATCAAGACACCGTACAAGCACACATATATGATTTGTAACCTTTCTGGAGCAAGGGAACTGCGAAAAGCTTTATTTCTTTAAATATTAGGAATATATTCCATGAAGTTAATGGTCGTTTTGGCTCAATAATGTAAATGGAAACTTTTTAGAATAATGTGTTATTATCTCATAGAACCTCACTTGTGGAATTAGAGCATAATGCTATTGGAACATAAGTGATAAGTGTTTATGTATATATACATTTCCATTTTGCAGGCTTGTGGTTGATGCCGTATCAGATGTCGTGGATTACTGGGTAATATTCAATGAGCCTCATGTGTTCTGTATGCTCACTTACTGTGCAGGAGCTTGGCCTGGTGGTAATCCTGATATGCTGGAAGTTGCTACTTCTGCATTACCCACAGGTGTTTTCAACCAAGCCATGCACTGGATGGCAATTGCACACTTAAAGGCCTACGATTACATCCATGAAATGAGGTTCACAGTTTTTCTTCTTTCTTCACATAATGTCTCCTTTAATATTTTTAAGTTAGAACTCGATTTGGTCCCTCGACTATATACCTATTGTTACTAAATTTCTCCTCGGTTTTCTTTTAGACTAGTTGGTGCTCAACTATGCAATTTGCATTCTATTTAGTCCTCATGTGTATTCTGCCAAAATTAACAGGGGTATTTTCGTATGGCCCGGTTAAAATGACACCGGCTTCAGGTGTCATATTATGAGACTGGCCAATTTAAGGCTTCAACGGTGTTCCGTTCAACCCTAAAGTGGTTCCTACCCCCCTAACCCAATAAACCCCTGACCCTAGCCCAACCCCTCCAATTGCACTGCCCAAATTTAGTTGGCTTTGGGGTATTTTTTTCACCATAGGGTCCAGTGGGGTTGGAGGTGCGCTCAGGTCGGCCCGGGTGGGGGTTTACCAGAGGGTTAGGGGTAGGAACAATTTTGGCGTCGAAAGGAGCACCGTAGGGGTCTCAAATTGGTGTGGTCTGGGGTGTCATAATATGACACCACACGTTGGTGTCAAAATAACCAAGACGATTTTTGTATATTGAGGACTAATTTAGGTGTGAATCACACATTTGAGGGCCAAATGAAATTAGATCTAAATTTAGTGAGCGGTTAAAAATATTATTCTTATTTAGAACCAAATCTACTATATATATAAAAGCCCATGAGAAATCAGAACCAATTGCAATTCCCAATTTTCCCGCCAGATTTCTTCATCCAATGGCTATTAATAAATTGGTACACATGGCAGTTGCACAAAAAATCTCAGTCGAAAAACATTTACAATAACTTGTGGACAAAAACTAAAAATAATACTGAGTATACAATTCTCATCTACTATATACAACCAAGCCAAATAGTCCACAAATATAGTATTAAAAATGAACAGCCACTGCCCCACTTTGAATCTTCAGATTTTTCACACATGGGTGATCCGTGATCCACAGATAAAGACATTGCAAAGGCCACAAGTTCAGCCCAATTTCAACCCAAATTCGGCCCATGTCACTCTAATAAACCCTATTTCACATTTCAGAGCTTCAGTTACTATTATAAATACATCACCATTCAATCTCTCAAAATACATCACTTTCCAAAAACCCTAACTACTAAATTTTTTCCTCCATCTTTCCATATCTATGTAGATATACGCAAATATACAGCTTCACACACACACACACATACCCACACACATATATGTATGTATGTATGTATGTATGTATATACATACAATAATAACATGCATATAGAAACTTAGATTTTTATTACTGATTTTTTAAGTTTGAGGCTAAAAGATAAATGAATTTGCCATGGCTGCAGCAACGATGATATTCCCCGTTAAGCCACCTCAAGATGCGTTCTTATACTTCGATGCCTCAAACATTAAAATCCCAAAAACCACTGTATCATAATCCGGGGTTTATCGATACCATCACAGCCACATAAATATACACATGCGCACCCACAAAACCGTTTCTCATGAAAATCTTACACTATACCAAGCAAAACGAGCAGGGAGGTTTTCGTATCCATGGATATGTATATCAAACTTTATATGGCATTTAGCCTTACACCAGTTTTTACAGAAATGCGTATATGTATTTTACAATAAAGGCTCAGATTTTGAAACCAGTTTTCATACTCGAGTCATGTAAGAAACGAAATCGCCATGGTTGCAAGAACGGTTAATCCCGTTACACCACGCCAATATACGATATTTTTCTTCAATGACCCAAACGTTAAGAAAAGCTTAATAATCAAAGATTTAACATGTATATAAATGTGTGTGTGTGTGTGTGTGTACACACACACATATTTAATTATCACATGTAACCAAATTTCAGTTTTAACTTAAATCACACAGCCATATATTCAGACACACACCCACAAAAAAATGATATGTTTGGGACAATGTAAGAAACATTTAGCACACGAAAAAATGAGAAATTTTTTAGAAATATATTTTAGGAAGTAAAAAAAGGAACCTTGGTTTTCTAAAAAAAATTGTCACATAATTAATGAAAATTTTATTACTCCTGAAATTGTATCCTCTTATACATTATTCATAATAGGTACGGTCTTCCATGTGAATAAAAAGTTACTGTCTTCCATTTCAAAAAGGCCAGGGGAACACACACATATGGGGGTTATCAATGAATAGCATCCCCAAACAATTCTCATTTATATGGATATATGGATATAAGTTAAATTACTAATAATTTAGACATCCTCATTTATGTGTGTGTGTGTGTGTTTAAATATCTAATACATAAATACTTAAAGCTCTATAGATCTAAAGAATATATAGATCTTAGGATGTAAATCGGAAGATATATGTATGCGAAGAACAAAAAACAATATATATCACACAGTTTAAAACTATATACGTTTTAATTAAAGCAAGATTAAATCAAACCTGTGCCAAAAACAATCCAAAAATTCGAGGTTGAACAAAACACAATTCGAAATGAATCCATGTCTGCATCGCCAAGAACAAAATGGTTTTTTGGTGAATATATGAGAGAGAGGTAGTAGGAGAGTGGCGGGAATATTAATAAAATTATATTCAATATTAATAAAAAAAGTTTTATTAGATTTATTATAATACTCCCTCCGTCCCAAATTATTTGCAACGTTTGCTTTTTTAGCAGTTGCGGAAACTTTTATTTATTTCTATGTTTTCATTGGTTATTTGATAAAATAAAATATTCTTGACACCTCTTATTTCGAAGAACTTTTCATGTAGTTTTTTTATATGTAAATTTTATTTTTTATTTCTAAAACCAATATGTAAATAAAATGAATTGAAAAAAGTTGATATTTTACCTCGGGAATACAAATGTGGCAAATATTTAGGGACGGATGGAGTAAATATTTTCAAAATAGATTCTAACTATTCTCTTTCAAGTGATTTAACAAATGGTTAATCACTTATCATTTATGCAAGTAATTTATTTGCAACCTTGCTTATTTGTGGCTCATTGGTTCATCCCGAAGATGTATGGGAGAAGTGTTAGACATATCTTTCAGCTGATATGTAATTCTGATAATACTCCATGTAATACTACAGTTAATGTGGTTCATAAGGAGATTTTTGAAAATGTATGATTGGTGTTAAACATACATTGTTTACTTTACTGCATTTCAATAGTAGGTATTGAATATAATCTACTTTAGATCACATTCTTTATTTTAGTAATTTTATTTAGAATTACATAAATAATAAGATATGTAAGCAGATAGACATATTTTTATTGATTGAATGATATTCAGTATCAACTATTCTCATATCCTTTTTGAATTTGTGATAGACTTATCTCTCCGTGCATAGCACGGGCGATACACTAGTATGAATAAGGACTAAATTGGACCCATACTTCATAGTTGAGGACCAAATAAAGTCCAATAGAGTGTTGGGGGACCAAATTGAGTAATTGTGTATAGTCGAGGGACTAAATCAACTATGAACTCTATTTTTAATGTTATAATTGGAGCTTTCATTCTAATTTTTCCAGACTAATAGATGCTCTTTGCTAACCTGCTAAGAGCTGGATTTACTATGTGCTCTTTCTAGAATTTCATCTCTAATTTTATTGCACTTACACCCAACTCTAGAGGATCAGGAACGCTAGTTGGAGTTGCACACCATGTCTCCTTTATGCGTCCCTATGGACTTTTTGATATTGCTGCTGTTTCAGTTGCTAATTCCTTGACTCTCTATCCTTACTTGGATGCCATTTCTGAGAAGTTGGATTATATTGGAATAAATTACTATGGACAGGTATTTCACTATATCATCTGTATTTATCTTTAAAAAAGGGCGAGCTTTGGAGAAATGATCGAGTTGCCCCTTTGGTTATCAAAAGGTCATGAGTATGAACCTCCGTGTAAACAACTTTTTGGGAAAAATTGTGGTTTACTCTCAGGGAACCAAAGAGATCCCCGAGATACATGAAAAACCCCTCTCTTGCCCCGTGGCTAGACGAGGAAGAATACGGGTACTAGTGTATTATTATTATTCTTGTTCTTGTTGTTTTTGTTGTTTTTGTTGTTGTTGTTGTTGTTATTATTATTATTATTATTATTATTATTATTATTATTATTATTATTATTATTATTATTAGTTTCCTATAGCTATTGTTGTTATTTGTTAGCTTCTTATTATTATTTACTTATTTAGGAATATTAATAGTTTTCTATTAGATAGTCTTATTCTATCTTAGTTAATAGAATAACTAAGGAATCATGTTTCCTCATACGATTATGATAGGTCTCTTTTAAGGCTTTGCCTATTTATACTCACACAATTATTAATATGATTATCATCGTGGAAGCAATTACTTCTATTTAATGAAGCAGAGGACATTGATCCTTCCCTAACCATGGCTGAAAAGATGGGAGAGTAGTCCGTGGCTAGCTTCTCATGAATAGAGTTTTGACTTCAACCATTGATAATTTTATTAATGACTATGCGAGTAAAAATAGCCAAAAGTCCAAAAGCTTAAAAGAGGTCTACCATAATCATACTAGCCTACTAAGAATCATGATCCTTATTTTGGAGTATTAGCTACAATAGAGTACGACTATCAATACTACCTCCATCCCATAAAACCTTTTCTATTTGAAAAAAGGCGCACCTTTAAAATGAGTAATTTTGGTATTATTTTCTAATTTTTCCCTTCATAATAAAGTAGGTTGAGATGTGTAGGGTAGATGAGTCATATTTAAAAAATAACACCAAAATTACTCATTTTAAAGAAACGCAGGAAGGGTTTTATGGGACGGAGGGAGTAGGAAATGCAATGATAGAAACGAAATACTTATGCTAATTAATAATAATAGTCAAAATCATAATCATAATAATAGCTACATCATTTACGTATATGGGTTTTCTCTCCTTACCCTCACAAGGTGGGGAGAGCTTGGCTCCCTGGGCTGGCCCTTTATTCAGTATAATAGTATATACGGAGTATCTAGAAACTGCGAATTTTTTCCAATTTGGGGTGTTGGAACTTGGAAGTTTGGAACCTCCTTTTTTTCAGGAGGTTGTATCAGGTGCAGGACTGAAGCTTGTGGAAACAGACGAGTACAGTGAATCAGGGCGGGGCATCTATCCTGATGGCCTGTACAGGATTTTGCTTCAATTTCATGAACGATACAAACATCTTAATGTCCCTTTCATTATATCCGAGAATGGTGTTTCAGATGGGACAGATGTAATCAGACGGCCATACATGTTGGAACATCTTTTGGCAATTTCTGCAGCCATTGTAGCAGTATGATCTTAGAGCCTTATTTTATAGCTGTTTCCCTGCAACAAGGAATCAGGGGTCTAACCAGAACAGCCTCTCTGTTTTTTTACAGGGGTAAGGTTACGTGCATCTTGACCTACTAGACTCCAATGTAGTTGGGATTATACAGGGTTTTGTTGTTGTAGTTGTTCTTGTAATGCCTATGTACTAAATGTAATGACTGTCATTCAAGGGTGTCCCAGTACTTGGTTACTTGTTTTGGACAATTTCGGATAACTGGGAATGGGCTGATGGATATGGTCCCAAGTTTGGACTTGTAGCAGTTGACCGTTTGAAGGATCTTGCTCGGATCCCACGTCCATCATACCATCTGTTTTCCAAGGTAACACTATTTAGTTTAGACTTTAAAGTTTTGCTCACTGACTAATGTTTCTTTTGTCTTTTCCCAATCTTCTCACGTCTAATGTTACAGGTTGTCAGATCAGGTAAGATCACAAAGGCAGACAGAGAGAATACATGGAATGAACTTCAACTTGTAGTGAAAGACGGAAAAACGAGAGAATTCTACCGGGCGGTGAACAAGCATGGCTTGATGTATGCAGGTAATTATCTCAGTTTTATGTTTATAATGTATGCCCCTTCTCTACTTTTAGTTGTTTGGGTGGCATAGTGTGATTAAGTTTACAACTTATGTGTGAAAGTTTGATAATGAGCATTAGAAAACATATTGAATTTGCGCAAACATGCTATGCATTGTTTGATAAGGAACTTTTTGGGGAGTTTTGTGAAAAAATAGCTTTTTGTATAAAGGCCAGATATTTGTCTATTAAAATTGTTCGGTAAAGAGCTTTTTCGGTAAGCCCTTTTTGTTCCAAAAAGCTGGTTTATGAAATGCCTGATTTTCATGATTCTTAGAACTAACTACCCTATGAGCTGACGCAAATAGCTAAGAGCTTGTTGTCAAATAGGGTTTATATGGAGGTTTGGTAGATCTTATTTAGTTGCTTGTGGTTTATTTTAGGCTCCAATATTATTTGACATTTTATCAGCGAAAGTATCTAGGAAATAAGCTGCTAATGTAAAAAGTATGCATCTTTTTCCACTTTTCAGCTACTCAACGACTATTTTTTTTAAAAAAACAATTATAACTCCAATCACAACTCTTAACTTCTAGCTACATTAACCCATTTAACCCCTGTTGGGGTGGTTATCTATTTTATGATTCAGTTTTTTGAAAACTAAAAACCAGACTTTGGAAACAAGAAAACTTTGCTGTTTGTAGTTTTCCATACTAACATATTTGTAAAAAAAACATAATACGGAGTAGCGAGTAGTTTTGGTCCATCCAAAACATGAAAACTTGCAACCACTCTGAACGGAGCTTAAATCTAGCTTTGGACCTCGGCGTGCCAAACAAACCCGTATTGATGGTGTTTCCGAAACCATGGTTGTTCTCACAGACAACCCATAATGTCAAATCTCATTTTATAGGTTGTCGGGTAGGTGGTAAATATGTTTTCGCTTTTGTAGGAGGTCTTGATGAGCCTGTAAGGAGACCATATGTGGAACGCGATTGGCGGTTCGGGCACTACGAAATGGAAGGTCTACAAGATCCCTTGAGCCGATTTTCACGATTTATTGCCCGGCCCTTCACCACCAAGAGAAGAGCAAAACCTAAGACAATGAATGAGGAAGCACCCACTCTTGAGCCTCTTTTGTCCTTGCCATGATGCTCCCTCCTCTTACAAGATCTGGAAATTCCTTCACAAATATATTCATGAAGTTGGATCAAGGTTGGTAATCTTCCTTGGCCAAATTAATTTAGTTTCTTTATCATCTTCAACCCTTTTATTTGAAGAAGAGTTATGTACTCTGTAGAGTCTGTACTTTATTGCTGCAGTGTATAGCTTCCTGCATTTACATTTATATCAAAACACTCTATGCAATGTAATTTTTTTTGCAAGGTCAAACTTTGACCAAGAAAAATCAAATGGGAAGATTAAATCCGGATGGAGGAAATATTTACTCCCTCCGTCCTCCGTTCCTAAAAGATTGCCATAATTTGATTTTTTTTGTCAGATTGTGGCATCCTTTGACCACAAATTAAATATACTTTAAAATAATTAAAAATTCTAAAAATTTGATAGTTCAAAACTATATTTTAAAATAAACCCAATTTTACTATAATTAAATATATTTTTTCCATAATTTGCGATCAAAGTGTGCCACAATTTGACCAAAAAGTCAAATTGTAGCAATAATTTAGAGATGGAAGGAGTATATATCTTCGGGAGTCATTTTCCGCCTTTCCAAGCAACGGGGGAATAAGACGAAAAGCCACACCTCAGAGCAGACGTGAGGGATGTGGCAGGTCCCGTGACTTGTTGAAATTGGTGAATACTCCGTATGACTATATGAGTGGAACGTGCACTCTCATGAACTTTCTTTTTTACTCTCTCTCTCCCTTAAATATATATCTCACATTTCTATCATCGTCCATTTTGAGGTAAAATAACAAGTTTTTTTTAATTCATTTTATTTACATATTCGTATAGAAATAAAAATAAAATTTACATATCAAAAAAACTACATAAAAACTTCTTAGAAATAAGAGGTGTTAAGAATATTTTATTTTATCAAATAACCAATGAAAACGTAAAAATAACCAAAAGATTTCGCGATTGCTGAAAAAGTAAATGTGAGATATATTTAGGGAGAGGGAATATTATTATTACTCCGTATTATAAACCTGAAAGACGTACGCACTCAAGGACTCACGAGTGGAGTAGTCAAAACTTTGGAATACATTAGGGGTGGAGTCATTCACTCGTGTGTGACAATCTGGCTAAAGTTATTTAAGTGGTTTTAGACGTTTAGTGTAGTCCTAATTTATGGCTAAAATTAACCGAAAAATTATGCACAGTAATCCCAACTCTACGGGTTCTTTAAAAAATAATTTTGTCTTTCACGGGTGCATAAAATAATCTCAATTTTATTAAAATTTGTGAGTTTTGGGTTGTCGTTATATTGCTAACGGCTGGTTAATGGGAATGGACTATTTTGCAACAGAAAATAAAAGTTGATACTCCGTATTATTTTTGATGAACTTTTGCTTTTTTAATTTGAAAATTTTCTTTAAATTTTAAAATGACTTTCTACTTTCATCGTTTCTGTTTCTTTTTAAAAAAAATATTAGTCTTACCTCATGAAAGAATATATATATAAAAAAGATATAAATAACAAAGAAAATGAGGAAAAACATCTAAGATCATATAAAATTAATGAAATAAATAAGGAATCAATAAAAATTAATCTGAATCTGGTAAGAAATAACTCTGAATCTAGTAAGAAACAACAAAGACCACTTTTTAGGGTTTTAATAAGAAAATAATTCTTTAATTTCTTGCTTTCAATTTTACTTTCATTTTTTACTAATAGGAGAAAGTAATAAGTACATTAATACTCCGTATAGTGCCTAAGTCATTAAAACACGCCACTCCATATATTTTTAGTTTGATTTTTTTATCAGTTTGAGGCTAGTTTTTATATATTGTGTTAGTATTTTATTAATTTTGTACTCCGTATGATTTTAGTTGTTGTTTTCATTTTCGTTATTTTCTATATCTATTTTTTCTGATATAAGACTAATCTTTAAAAAAAGAAAAAGAAATAGAGGTAGAAAGTCATTTTAAAAATTTAAGAGAAAAAATCATAAAAAAATAAAAAACGAAAAGTTATCAAAAATAATTTCAACTTCATCTTGTTGCGAAAACATGCACCTGTTAACAGGCCATAAGCAATTTAACGGCGATCCAAAACTCGCATATTTCAGTAAAATTGGGATTGTTATTCTTCATTGTGAAAGGTGAGATTATTTTTGATAATTTTTCTAAAATTAATTGGTACTTTATATCACTATTTAATACGGAGTATATTAAAATATTACGGGCTTTCTAAATGAAGGGTTTTGATATCCCTGAATTTGATAAATATTGATACGAGAATTTGATATCTCTTTCAATCGTCGACCATTGCCTATCGGCATCGCTATCACAACCAATCACCCTGTTGCCAACCATTCACATATATCACTAATTAGATCATGATTTGAAATTTTTCTAAAAAATTTTTATTTCAGATTTCAAAACACGTCATTTCTTCAAAACTTCATATTTAATGTCATTTCAAACCTCCAAAAGTGATCCAGGATGTCCTTAAAGAAAATGAATAACCTTTTCTAGTTTTCTAGGGACACCCCTTAGTGCAAAACATTATTGGGGGGTAGTAGAGGTTAAGAGTCTTATCCACATAAGGAAGTCCTAAGATTCTTGCACACAAGGCAGTGTTCCCAATGGCTAATAATCCACCAAACACACCACCTTTACTTTTCTTTGGTTTTCTCTGTTTATGGCTTTCATGCACAAATTCATCATCTTCATCTTCTTCTTCAACCCAAAAAGCACAGGATTTTGATAGAATAAGGCATTTGCCAGGGCAACCAAACAGGCCATTAGTGACACAGTACTCAGGCTACATCACAGTTAATGAGTCTCATGGGAGGGCCCTCTTCTACTGGTTCTTTCTAGCCCAATCCCAACCCTCAATCAAACCTCTCATTCTATGGCTAAATGGAGGTATCATTAATTATTATTATTATTCTTTTTGTGCATTCTGTATTTATTTCGTTCTAAAATAAACTTTTCAATTGCAAGTAGTGCCTTTTTACATTACTTTTACTTGTGTATAAATTTGAATCACAAATTTCTTTTTTTTATAAATCTAATTTTTACAGTTTTGAGAATATATAAATAAATAAAAAGAAGGGCGTGTTTGGTATGAAAAAAACAACAGGACCAGGTTGCTCATCAATAGGATATGGAGCTGCTTCAGAGTTGGGTCCTCTCAGAGTTCATGAAAATGGATCTGCTCTTCACTTCAACAACTATTCTTGGAACAAAGGTTTCATTTTCTTTTCATTTACTATCTCCTTCTCAGCGTATTTGTCCAATTTGAGTTTTTAAAGTTAAATTGGACAAATTTTAAATTTTAATTACTCTTAATTTATATTGCATATTAGTAGAATGAAATAAAAGTTTAAAAGTTATGAACAAGATAAATCTAATAGAAATATCTTTATAGGGACGTATTTTGGCTTTGGTTCTCAAATTTCACTTTGTTCGACTCGAAAAATTCAAATTAGACAATTACACTGAGACAGGAGGAGTGTCATTTATGTGATTCCAAGTTTTAGTCTTCGGTATTAAATGTGGCCTTGTTGGGCTTCCGTTACGCTTAAATTATAATAATATCTGATCTGAATTAAATAACGTTAGCATTTTGAGTAACTTTTTAAATTATGCAAATGAACTCTAAAAAAAGTAATGCATATAATAAATGTAATGTTATTCTCCGTACTAAAAAAAGGTTTGAAACAAACTTTAAAAAAAGTGAAATTGGGTAGTTGAAAGTGATACAGAAGAGACAGAGATGATAAACTACAAAATGCTTTTCAAAAAAAGAAACATAAAGCTTTTTGGGATGTCTCCAAAAGAAAAATAGGGAAATTAATTTGGGATGAATGGAGTGCTTTGTTGGGCCCGAGATTGGGTCTTTCTCTCTTAAGTCTTAACCCGACCTCTTTGTCCTCTCCCCAAGCATTTTTGCCTAAATTTAAAAGATACGAGTATATATTTTTGTGTTCACTTTCACAAATTATCCTTTATGTGATATGTAAAAGTATGCTGTGATAGGTAGATTATTAGTAAATAAATATGATGTGATAGGCAGGGTAAGATTTAGTAACAGTAAAAGTAGTTTTTTAATAGAAATGAGAAAGACATTTTTTGGACAAAGAAAAAAGAAAGAAAATAGACTTTTAAGGACGGAAGAAGTACTTGTTTAAGATAAAATTGATTTCTTTTTTTAACCATTTCACATTTCGTTTAAAATGCAGAAGCCAACTTATTGTTTGTGGAGTCTCCAGTGGGCGTTGGCTTCTCATACACAAACACTTCCTCTGATCTGACCACTCTGGATGACCACTTTGTTGGTAAAAATTAAAATCACTTCATAATCTTAAAAGGAAATTATACTAATTCTTCAATTTTTCTTTTTTAATTTTTTTGTCACTTGTATATCACATTCTCTTTTTACTATTGGCACTATTTAGCCCAAGATTCATACAACTTCATAGTCAATTGGCTTGAAAGATTCCCACAGTTCAAGAATCATGACTTCTTCCTTGCAGGAGAGAGCTATGCAGGTCATTCTTTACAAAATACTCCCTCCGTCCCTAAAAACTCGTCCATAAAAATAAAAACGTAACTTCAATATGTTGACGATGAATTATATTGCAGGCCACTACGTTCCCCAACTAGCCGAGGTTATTTTTGACCGAAACAAGGATATGAAGAAATACCCACACATAAATCTCAAGGGTTTCATAGTAAGCAAAGAAATTAATACATGGTTTGGCTCTCTGCCTCTCTCTGCAATGGTTGTAGTTTTACAAAGAGTTCCATTAAATTCTATATTATATTGAGAAATTTGCAGGTAGGAAACCCAGAAACCAATGATTATTATGATTACAAAGGGCTTTTGGAATATGCATGGAGCCATGCAGTGATTTCAGATCAAACCTATGACAAAGCCAGAGAAACATGCGACTTTGCAAGCTCTAAATGGTCGAATGAATGCGACGAAGCCATATCAACTGTGTTCTCGAGATACGAAGAAATCGATATCTATAATATCTATGCTCCCAAATGTCTTCTGAACGAATCTTCGTCGCAAATGGGTATTAATAACAATGCGAATGGAAGGATGATAAAGCGAATCCCAGCAGGGGGTTACGCGCCGTGCTATTCATCCTATGCAGAGGATTACTTCAACAAGATTGACGTTCAAATGGCTTTCCATGTGAATATTAGAGAACCCGTAGGCTCAACCGTCCATTGGAAGGCATGCAGGTCGATCATTTCCATCATTTTCATTTCGTATTTAATTAACAAATAGAAGTTTCTACGTTGTAAAACTCCTAACAAATACTTCCTCCATTTCAGAATAACGAACTGTCTATTAAGGTTTATTACATACATTAGATTTTGAATGAATATAGGCATACTTACGTCTACATTCATTCAGGATTTAATATATCTAACAATCCTTAATAGACAGTTAGTGTGGAACGGATGGAGTATGAGGTTTCTATTTTGCCAAAAGATAGCCAACATTTGGAGCTAACATTTGTTACTCATCATCAGCGATCCTGTGTATAATGCGTACAAGTCCACTACCTTATCCGTGCTCCCGATTTATCAAAAGCTAATCAAAGGAGAACTCAAAATTTGGATTTACAGGTTAGAAAGACAACTAGTACTATATAAGTAGCATTCTTTTTCATACATATATAGTAAGAAAACATAGCTAGTTTAATTTGTTACCGGGTGTTAATGTATATGTTTGGTTGAAAAAGTGGGGATGCTGATGGGAGAGTGCCAGTGATCGGGACAAGATATTGGATAGAAGCTCTTAAGCTACCTTTGAAAACCCAATGGCGCTCTTGGTTCCACAATCATCAGGCAAGTGTTTTGTCCATAAAGATACTCTGCATATAAGTGCATAGCTAATTAGTCTTGAACAAATTGTAACGTTTAAAATGGATGCAGGTTGGAGGAAGGATAACTGAATACAATGGCTTGACGTTTGTAACGGTGAGAGGGGCAGGTCACCTCGTACCACTCGATAAACCGAGTGAAGCTCTAGCACTTGTACACTCTTTCTTGTCGGGTGAAGAACTTCCGCGAGAGAGATGAATTGAACATCACAAATCTTTTGTTTATTTGTATCATTTGGAAGAATTTATGAACATAAGAACACAAAGTAGATTAGTTCAAGTATGTTTGTGAAATACTGAAAGTTAAACAAGTTCGTCAATCTTTTCATTTGACTTTTCACTGTATTCAATGCAAATGCAACTCTTTGACAATGAATATCTTTTTTATAAATAAATATATGGTGTATATTATAAAAAAGCATTCAAAAATACTCCCTCCGCCCAAAAATTATTTTTCCATTCACTATTCACAGGGTCAAATTTTATTTACTTTAGTGGCCTATTTTCATTGTCCGTTTGATAAAATAATATAGTCATGTCACCTCTGGTTTTGTAGATCTTTTGATGTAATTTTTTAATATGTAATTTTTATTTTTTATTTGACAATATTTTCATATAAAATAAATTGAAAATAACTCCAGTCAAACATCGTAACGCGCAACAGGAAGATAATTTTTTGATGGAGGGAGTATGTTTCAAAATGAGTATATTGACATTTAATTTATATCACAACTTAATGTGCTTTTCCGTGATTTGTAGCCAAAGTCTAAAAAATTGATATTGAAGTCAAACTGAGAAAAATAGGGAGAAAGAACAAAGTAGGACTAAAACATTGAAAATATACCAAAATAGAACTTTTGTGTTTTTATTCCCGAAATAGGACTTAAAATGCATTTACATTACCAAACATGGTCATGTACATTACCAAAGAATTTAGTAATGAGCACATGTAGTGCGAAGTTCTATTTCGAGGAAAAAAACATGAAAGTCCTATTTTGGTATTTTTCTCTATGTTTTATTCCTATTTAGGAAGATTTCTAAAAATAAAAATTGGCAGAGAGAGTACTCCCTCCATACTAAATCTTTCTTCTGAGATACCATTCACATGGTCAAATTTTAATATATTTATTTACCTATTTTTGTTAGTTATTTGATTAAAATAATATAGTCATGTCACCTATTTGTTTTGTAAAACTTTTGATATAGTTTTTGATATATAATTTTTATTTTTTAATTTTACACCTAAAATAAAATAAATTGAAATAAAAATAATTTCATTCAAACCTCTTAAACCAAACTGGGAAGAAAGTTTTAAGACGGAGGGAGTAGTTTTCTTAATCTTTTTTTACATTTTATTATTTTCTTTATTTTATTTTTTCTAACTGAAACTATAAGATAAACTATTTTGAAGGAAACTTAAATTTAAGGCCAATTCAAAGCAAATGTTTAAAATAACATGATTGCAGCACACCATGTTTTTACTCACTCCCGTATTATTTATTCTTATTGGAATCAGATTAAATAAATAAATAAATAAATAAATATATATATATATATATATATATATATATATATATATATACATATATACTTTAAAAAATTACGATTTGAATGATTCTGTGAAAGTGATTTAAGAGAAGAATCATATGACATTATTTTTTATTACTCGGCATAATTCAAAGTGTTTTATTTATATTATCTTTAATATTCAGAGTTTGAAGTGAAAAAAAGAAAAGTATGAGTAAAACATTGAAAATATACCAAAATAGGACTTTCATGTTTTTATTTCCGAAATAGGAGTTAAAATGTATTTACATTACCAAACATGATCATGTACATTACCAAAAAGTATAGTACTGTGCACATGTACAATGTCATATCTAACTATATACAACGCTAGGATGCGTTTATGAACACTATTCCCGCCCATTTGATGAGCTACAGTAGCCGCTGGTGTTTTGGACCACGCATTCGGATAAGAACGAATAATAAGAGGGCTTCTGCCGTCCATTTCCAATCAGCACCGCTGTAGCGAGAGAGAGACGAATAAGAAGGGGGCTTCCGCCGTCCAATTCCGATCGGCACTTCGCCGTAGCGAGAGAGAGAGAGAGAGACGGACAAAGAGAGAGGGAGCACTGCCGCAGGTAAGTAGCTCGCCGCTGATTGGAATTTTTTTTCTTTCTAATTTTGAGGTTTCGACCGAGATGCTTTTACAATTTCTTCATTTTCTTACCAATTTCTTTTGTTGCTAGATTGAGATTTTCATATTTTGGGTATAAAATTTCAGATCCTGATTTTTGGGTCCCAGATTGGAACAAGGTTGGAGACACAATGGAGACCTAGAAATGGCGAGTCACGACCATGGACAGCTAGACAACCATTAATGGAGAGCGAAATTTCATCAAAGGTTTCTCGCTACGGACAGCAGAC